GCTGAACTAATTAACAAGAAGTCGTTGCAGTCTACAACTTTGCACTTAAAATAGTTGGCTAGGTAAGTATTTTATGGCTTTTTTATGGTTTTAACTTGTTTCTGAAGCGCATAACAACGGAATAAACAAAGCGTTGCTAGGGGGAAAATAAAAATTATTTTATACCGATACATTATAAACAGGTTTTAACATGTGAAGCTTTTTTTATTTAGTTAAATCAACTAAAAATTCGAAATCTGTGATGATTATATTGGTTAAATAATGAAAATGAAAAAAATAAAAAAAATGTCACTTTTATTGGTTTACTACCACCTTAAGATACTGAGAAAATTTTATGTAAAATAAACTTTTTTAACCTGAGATTAATTTTTAACCTGATATATTTGATTTTGTTACAAAAGTTACAAGTTACAAAATCTTGCAAAAAATTCAATAAAAAGAACTTTCAAAAGAAAGCTGTAATATATTTAAAAATTTATATAGATTATGTTTAAAACTCTCCTGATCATATCGTGATGTTTCTTTTTGTTTATCAGAGTATTATTTTTTTATTGCTCTGTGACTTTTTCTTTTTATAATTTATTATATAATTATAAAAAAAAAACAAAATAATAAAAAATAAAATGATTAAAACAAGAAATTACTAATTTTATTTGAAAAAAAAAAAAAATACATAAAACTTTTCCCCCCGAAAAAAAAAAAAAAATTATATGAAACTTTTTGTTGAAATTTTTTTTGCCTTTAAATAAAAATATATAATTATAATCAAATAAAATAAATTACTCAATTATTCCTTATCACTGGTAATGATATTCTGAGTTTTGTTTAATTTTTTTTCTCTGTAATTTTTTACCTTTTCACTAGATTTTATCTCTATGCTCTTTACATGAAAAATATTTTGTTTTTAAGGCTTAATGTTTGTAACAATTTTTGATTGTCTTAATAAAAGTAAAACATTTTTAACACCTTCGGTACCAACATTATTGAGTAAAATTGCTGAATTAATACTCATTTTAAAAGTTTGTTTACAAACATGTTTTTAGGACAACAAGACCAAATTGATGCATAAAGACTTTCATTCAATAGCTCTTTATTTGATAGAAACAATGGTTGTTTCTTTCAAATAAAGAGTATTAATCCATAAGACGTAGAATTGAGTTATATAGAACAAATAAGTTCTATATAACTTAATTCTACGTCTTTAAAATAACTAGTACAAAAAATATTACTATTTTTAATTGAATGTGCAAATATGTTAACAAAACCAGCTGCTTCTATTGATCCAGAAGAGTATTTATAGTTTATAAGTCAGGCATTTTAAGCATAGTATAATGATGAAGCCTTTTTATTTTTCTATATATGTCCATGCAATATATTGATATTGCGTCATAATCAAGACACTTATAACCCACAATTTCACTTACAAATCCAATCAGAAAGGTATGGCCCATCACTTATTTTTTCACGCTTACAAATCAAATCAAGGAGGTATGGCCCAATTTCACACTTACAAATCCAATCAGGGAGGTATGACCCATTGTTGCCATGCACATTCAATCTTATCATGGTTCACTATTGGTTTACATCATCAGTACGGTTATCTCTAATTTCAGTTGTGACACGTTCATACTTTCCTTAGCAGTTATCGTAAGCTTTTGATATTTCTATATTTGGTTTTTTAAATGCAATAGCTGTCAAACAGTGAAAATTCATACAGTGACAAAATATTTTCATTGCTTGATACCCTTTTCCTATTTCTCTAAATTAATTATCTAAATTTCTTATGTTTGCTTTAACTTTTTTAGTTAGTAGAGGGTTTTGGCTAAAAAATAATACCATTTGCAATTGGAATTATTCTTATTCGTTTGATCGTTTTTATTTACATTTCTTTTTCTTCGGAGAAGACCTTAATCATCACCAATGTTACTAGTCACCGGTGATGATTCATCGGTGTCAAGCAGCACTAAGATAAATCTATCGCCTCGTTTTATGGTAACCGTAAAGTTGACATTTCCATTAAAGTTTAACGATGTTTTAAGTTCTAGTTGTAGTGATGATCTATCTATATTAACTTCTAAAATTATCTCTGAAATGCAAATATCTAAGCTTTTTATCTTTTTAATCTTTTTGAGTGGCTTTATACATTTATACATAACTAAAGTTAAATCAAATTGGTGTAACAATCAACAGCCACGTCATAAATTAACAAAAACGACAACAGCGTACAGTGTGTTGCCAGAATACCCCAACATATTGTGGGTATTCTGGCATACAGATTCTGTTATACTTATAAATTAGCTGAGATAACCCATTTAAATATTTGATGAACGAAAATTAAAAATATAATTTTAGTTCCATAAACGGGAGAAGTTAGATTTTCTTTTGTATAATAAAATTTTCACTGTGTGACATTTAAAACGCACTATTTATTAAATAAATCAAACATTTAAAATATCATGCAGTAATAGATATTAAAACAAAGTATTATAGTAAATTTTTTTTTTTTTAATTTATTCATATTGGTTTAATTTTGAAGGTGTTATCAATATCTGCAAATTGTGCACCACTAGTGTCATTAGATATAAAATTTTGTATATGACTACTATAGTGATACTGTATATATATATATATATATATATATATATATATATATATATATATATATATATATATATATAAATATATATATATATAAATATATATATATTTATTTATTAACATTTTAAATGTTAATATATAAGTATATATATATGCTTGGACCCAGCAGTGGGCCCAATATAGCTTTAATTAAACGATTTAAAAATTTTGGCTAAGCATAAATCAAGCCAGTTATGCTCCATTAGATAATGCCCATATTGCTGAACCACAGCTTCAGCAACTTAGATCAGAGGTTGGCTCCTTTCTGCAGCCTTTCTTATCAGATGACTCTTCGCACTTACCAAGAGAAGACTACAAAGAGATGATCGAGCTGTACATTTTAATTTGGGGTTTTCCGTTATCAAAGTATGCCACCAAAAAGTATCGCTTTCGCATGCCGGGAGCTTATCACATGGCTAGATGGATGGCTAAAGTCATCTATTGTATGAAAATATACCTCTTAAGAAATGAATTCAAGCTGACTATAAAAGAACAGAATAACTTGTGCAAACTTTGTATCGTTGCTGCTCATATCTATGTACCAGCATGGATTGCCTGTCTAAATGTAAGTGATGCTCCAGCAAAAGATCTGATGCTCTTCATAAGAATTAAACAATATTCTGAGATCAACAAGGTCATATTAAATGCTGCTATGAAGAAGGTTCAAAATTACACTTGTTACCTTGGGTCAGAAATGATTCCATTTTCATTATTTTCTGACAGGGTTTGTGACACAGAAAAAAAGTTGATTGTTGAAACTGATTCAAAGTGAGCTGATTTGAGTGTCAGGGGTATAAAGTGTCCAGCAGCAGAATTAAACAAGTTAGAAAAAAAAGCAGCTTCATGAGCTTTTTACATCATCATCAACTGCTGCTTTGCAGTCACTTGGTCTCGATGTAACCATTTTATCTGGAACCGACCCAAACACCTGTGAGTGAATTGCTGAATTTCGTTATACTAAAGCAATTGTTAAATCTGCGAAAGTTATCAATGACACTGCTGATATATATATATATATATATATATATATATATATATATATATATATATATATATATATATATATATATATATATATATATATATATATATATACATACATATATATATATATATATATATATATATATATATATATATATATATATATATATATATATATATATATATATATATATATATATATATATATATATATATATATATATATGTATATATATATATATTTATATATATATGTATATATATATATATATATATATATATATATATATAAATATATATATATATATATATATATATATATATATATACATACATATATATATATATATATATATATATATATATATATATATATATATATATATATATATATATATATATATATACATATATATATATATATATATATATATATATATATATATATATATATATATATATATATATATATATATATATACAACTGCGAAAAATAAAATAGCACCACCAAAAATTGGTTGAAATTAGAACTTTTTACTATTTTTGATAGTTTGAAAATCTTTTAAATACATATTTAAAAGTAAAATGGCTTATAATTTTTATAAAAAACAAAATTTACAAGTTTTAATATATAGTATTCATTTATTAAACAAAAATTAAAAAACAAAACAAATAAAACGCGAAAAAAAATAATAGCACCACAGCTTTAATGTGTACTTTAAAATAAGGAAATATTATGAGATCAATTGTTTTAAAGATTTTAAAATAAAAATTAGTTATTTTTTTTCATACTAGTATTTTGTTGCGTGACCTTTATTGGCAATGACGGCTACAAAACTTCTTGGCATCGAGTTAACCAAATCCTGACATCGCTTTAGCGGAATTTCGCTCCATGTCTCCTTAACTTCGTTTCAAAGTGACTCTTTCGTGGTGGGCTTGGCAGCAGCAACTCCTTTACATCAGCCCACAAATTCTCGATTGGGTTTAGATCTGGCAACTGTGCTGGCCACTCCATAAATTTCACTTTATGCTCCTCGAACCAATTCTTCGCCTTCTTGCTAGTGTCCAAAGCACACCAGCAAGAAGGCGAAGAATTGGTTCGAGGCGAAGAATTGGTTCACTCATTGTCCTGTTGGAACACCAAGGACAACGGTATTTCATAGTCTGCAAACGGCAACATAATATATCAACATAAACGTCTTCGTCCATAATAGTAGTAATGTGATGAATAGGCCCTACTCCGTAATAAGAAAAGCATGCCCATATCATTTAACTATAACATCCATGTTTAATAGTTTTGATAGTATATTTTGGATTTTATTCTGCATTCGGCGGTACTGACATACGCCCAAGAGCCTTTTCTACCATAAAGCACAATCTTAATTTCGTCTGTCCATATTCCTCCATTTTTCGAGTGGCCAATTTGAGTGATTTTTAGCAAACGTAATACGCTTTACAACATGTCTGCCACTTAGAAGTGGAACTTTTCTGGGACTACAGGCTTTTAATCCATTAACTCGCAGACAACTCTGAACTGTTTCTACCGTTGCATCGATGTTAAAGTCCTTTTTCAGCTCGGTACCTGTTTTAAAAAGTTCCTTTTTAGCCTCTCGGAATAAGCGATTGGACAGCAATCTTGAAATAGAATATTTTTGACCACGTGTCTCAAGCATTTCTTGAAATTTTATGGCATTTCTTATCATTTTATTGGACCACTCAACTACACGACCAACTTCTCTATAAGATTTCCCTGCTGATATAAACTCTCGGATCAGTTCTCGTTTTTTTGCACTACAATGCTTTCTGCGTCCCATTTTTATATGTTATTGTCTCCAAATAATACGCACCAACATAAAACGAATAAAACAGCAAAACAAAAATCCTACGTTTGCTATTTCACAATTATTTTTACCGTTATTAGAGTATTTTACTACAAAAGAGTATGTGGTGCTATTTTATTTTTCGGTCAGAATTGGCATTGTTGATTTGTTTTAGAAAATAAACATGTTAGCTAATATTTTAAACAGCAAAACTATAAAAAATTTTTATTTTGCATGGTGTTTTCTTAACAAAAAAGAAAATACGCTTAGTTGTGCTATTTTATTTTTCGCAACTGTATATATATAAAGAATTTTTTATTGACATTTTACCCAACGGGCATTCGAACATTTAATCAACGTTTAGTTAACGTTCGTTCTAAATGTTTAGATTTAATTTAGTTTCGATTAAGAACGTAGGTCAATCGAATGTTCCATTTAAACCATATCTTTATGGTTCGTTTTAAACGCTATTTAAACTCCATCTAAATCTTTCGTTTTAAACTTCGCGACGTTTAACTTTATTTTACGGCGCTTATTTAAAGAAGCATAAATAAATAAAAAATACTGATAAACGAATCAAACTTTTCTTTTATTTAAGCTGCTTTAAATAAGTACCGTAAAGAAAAGTTAAACGCTGAACGCATTATCTAAATACTCAAACACAAATCAATCATTAAACAGATAATTTTTTATTCAAAAGTCTAAAATACAAGTAAAATCATTTTATTAATTATTATATGCATTATTGTATTCGTCATCATAATTGGCTCCAAATTGATCATTGTCAGCTTTGCTTGAACTGATTAAGCCTGTTCGTCTTAAGAATTAGAAAAAAGGACATAATCTTTCCTATTTCCACCTATACGGAAGAGGGCCATTCTAAGATAAGAACCAAAGTACGATACCATATTGCGGATACCGAAGTCATACAACTTTTTTTTCTAAAAATAATAAAAATAACTCAATAAACATCTTTGTTCTATTCATATAAATCATTCATTTAACAATCAATTTAACATTTATAAATCCATAGTTTTATAGATTAAAAAAGATTGTACATTAGTACAGTGTACATTGAGTAACTATAGTAACAATTCATAAAGAACATTTCTTTAAAACTTTGTATAATATATAACATTTATATAATAAAAACCATATTAAAAAAACATGTACTTATCGCAGTTATGGGTTAATAAGTTGCATAACTGCTAGACAATTGCAGTGCCCTTCCTAAACATAGTAATACAATATTATATAGTATTCTATTACTTTATAAAAATATCTGTACAGTATGTATATATATATATATATATATATATATATATATATATAGTATATATATATATATATATATATATATATATATATATATATATATATATATATATATATATATATATATATATATAGACAAAGTTTGATAACTTTATCTATATATTATCTATATATCTATACCATTATCCATTGTCTTAAGGAGCAGTAGGCACACTCAGTATCCTGTTTGATTGAAACATTCTATTTAATTAAAAAGTTGTGGAGATACCGACAGTTTCACTTCAATATAAATAAACATATAAAAATAAAATTGTACTAAAATACTTAAAGTTAGAAACTAATCAATAAACATTATAACTAAAATTTATATCAAAATCATATATGTACTAACACACAACTCAAGCTAAAAATTAAGTATTTACATTTCGACCCGTAAAATTTCAAGCTTAGTAGGCTTTTCATATCATAATAAAATAAATAAAAAATAATGCAATAAATATTTCAATAGCTTTCAGATAAAGAGCATAAGATAAAAACAGAACAATTTGAACTCTTTTTTAACTAATTTAAACTTTAAAGACTCGAACCAATCATCAATGTACCTTTCAAATATAGCAGGAATTACCTTTAATCTTACATTATTTTTTAAGCGTTGAATTTTTATAAATAGCTTTTCATAACCCAACGGGCATTTGTTGGTTTAAATTGGTTTAGATCACGTTTAGATGGCATTCACGTTGATCTAAACGTTTAGGAACGTGTTCTGAATATTTAATTTGCGTTGAAATGCTAAATTAAACAATTTCCGTACGGAACAATGTTAATAAATAATCTCTAAAAGTTTTAGAGAAAAATTATGCATTTTAAGTAGTAACTACTTTTTAGTTAGCAGTTACCACTTAGTAGTTACCACTTAAAATGCATAATTTTATATTATAGATGACAATAGATGTTAGTAACATCTATTTGTTTATGATAGATGTTATATTATTCGAATAGCAATTTTATAGTATTTATACTTTTAGTGCAGTCAGTGCCAATCAAAAATTACGAGGTTCAAATATTTATATAATGGATCTTCAGTTTTAGTGTAGGCTTTTAGTGTAAACTAAAAAATATCTTTAAAAGTTTAAGTATTATTCATACTCCTATATGATAACCACTAAAGAGAAAATAACTTTACTTACCTCTGATATGATAGATTATTATATTGTATCATTTATATTCTCTTTAGTAGAAAAGTTAACATGGTTCGAACAATAATATAGTTATATTACATAGTTATATTATATTTCTAAAATCTGCGTAAATATTTTTTTATTGTTTAATAAGTTTTTAATTTCATTTAATATTTTATATACAGTCCAGTCAGTTGCAACAACAATTAAAGCAGCAGGAAACAGCCAAGTACACATGCAAGTAGTAAATTGATTTTTTGTGACATTTTTACTTCTTTAAAATTTAGATTTTCCTAAAATAATAATTAAGTTATTGGCTATTTTTGTAAAGATCATTCTGTAAATAAAAACTGCAGTGTTTTTAAAAATTATAGTTATTTTTTTAGTAAACACAAAATAAACTGCAAACTCTGTACTTTTAAATATGATTCTAAAATCTCAACATCTGTCAGATATTTACCTTTTAAATCATAATCTAATTGCTCAGGCTTCTGAAAAGCTATTTATAAAAGTTCAACGTTTAAAAAATAATGAAAGATTAAAGGTAATTCCTGTTATATTTGAAAGGTACATTGATGATTGGTTCGAGTCTTTAAAGTTTAAGTTAGTTAAAAGAGAGTTCAAATTGTTCTGTTTTTATTTTATGCTCTTTATCTAAAAGCTATTAAAATATTTATTGCATTATTTTTCATTTATGTTATGAAATTTTATTATTTATTATTTTGAAAATGCTATTATTTCATTTATGTTATGAAAGACCTACCAAGCTTGAAATTTTACGGGTCGAAATTTATAGTATGTATATGTATATTATCCCTTGGAATTAGGAAAACTAAAGTCAGCAAAAAAAGCTAAAAAACTAGACGACTAAACTTATTTAAAACACTTTTAACAAGTTTAGTTACAAGTTAATGTTATGTGTTGATGTACCTTCAACCAAATTAGTGTTAATATTTTAGCAAAATGTCATATCGTCAGGCTGTTTGATTGGAAGAACCAAAAGTTTGATATTTTGTTGAATTGTTATATTAGTTTGTGATATAATAATTTTTATTCAAAAAATGTTAAATAATTTACTTATTAAATTATTTGTCATTGCTTTGGATAAGATGTTTTGTTATTCCTTTGACAGATTGTTATGAGGACTGCAAAAATTTTAAATAACAGAAACTGAAGAAGAAATTGATAATCAGCAGATAATAAAAAAAGCAAAAGTATTGATTATACAAATCTTTTAAAGGTTTCGTTTTAATTTGCTAATGTTTATATAGAAACTAACAATATATCAACTGAAAATAATAACATATAATTAATCCATAATTGTGCGTTACTCTAATCTATATTAGTTTTTATTTCAATTTCTTTGGAGTTAATATTACTAGTTTAATGCAATTACAGAAGAAATGGTTAATTATGGAAAAAAAGTACTAAAATTGAATAAATCGCTCGTTAAAGCAAATAATCTTATATATATATACATATATATATATATACATATATATATATATATATATATATATATATATATATATATATATATATATATATATATATATATATATATATATATATATATATATATATATATATATATATATATATATATATATATATATATATATATATATATATATATATATATATGTATATATATATGTATGTATATGTGATGAATTTAAAAATAATAGTTTTATTTAGTTTGTTCTAAATTTTTTGTAAAAAAAAAAAAGAAGCAAGTTTTAATTAGTAAATGATTAATCATTTTTACGGTAAAGTAAAATAGTTCTTATTTATTAGTTGAGGAAGAATTTTAGGTTAATGCCAATGCAAAAGGTACGAATATTGATAGGTTAGCTAATTTGATGTTACCATAAACATGAAATAAAGTTTGTGAAGACCTTAGTGCTAGAAATACCTGCATGCATAAAGTAAAGATTATGCAAGTAAGTTGTCCTACTTTTATCTTTGAAAACTAGTAATAATTGTGATGAACATATCTCAAACAATATACACTCGGATTTACATTTTAGTTAAACAATTACTACTTCCACAGCCACCTTGTCTCGAGCATTCAATTGCATTCTAAGATATCTTAATTCAAGTAAAGTGTGACTACTATACCAAAAGTCTGTAAAATGGACCAATCAAATAAGATGTCTAAATTTATATCTTTAATAAAAAACTCCTTTACTTTTAGATAAACCTGTTACTTTTATGACTGATAAACATATTTAGCAATGTAATCCATTTAGGATAGACTTAAAATCAAATTTACAATGCTTTAGTAAATTTTTATTTAAAATAACTTCGTATACATAATATATCTATATAGTTATTTACATTGTAGCTAACGCATCAGTACTTGCAAAGTCTCCTTTTTCTGTTATCTTGAAAATTGAGTTCTAAAATACCATAACTACTATATCAAAGCACAAACTAATGGATTGATCAAGTAATACTTAATTTTTAGCTAGAGTTGCGTGTTAGTACTTATATGATTTTGATATATAAATTTTAATTATAATGTTTATTGATTAATTTTTAACTTTTAAGAATTTTCGGAATTACAATTTTATTTTTACATGTTTATTTATATTGTAGTGAAACTGTCGGTATCTCCACAACTTTTCAATTAAATAGAAAGTTTTAGTCAAACAGGATACTGAGTGTGCCTTCTGCTCCTCAAGACAATGGATAATGGGAGTTATCAAACTTTATCTATCTATTTATATATATATATATATATATATATATATATATATATATATATATATATATATATATATATATATATATATATATATATATATATATATATATATATATATATATATATATATATATATATATATATATATATATATATATGCATCGACTTCAAAAAATGGAAAAATTTAATTTTGACTACTCGTTTAAAAATATTCCAATACAAGATGAAACTAGCTACAAAATAAATTTTGTTCAAAAAATAGAAAACATCCTAATATTTGCAGACAAAACCAACAACATTTACCCATTATTCCCCGAAAATAACTCCAAATTATTGAAAGGAAACATCACCAAAACATACAAAAAAGCCACTAAAAAACTAAAAAATTCAATCAACCTTGAGGCAAAAAGCATAACAATTAAACTAATTATAAACAAACAAATCAATACAACTGCCAAATCAGAAGCATTCATTACATTAAAAGACCACAAAAACAACTTTGAAAATCAAAAATCATGCCGCCTATTAAATCCAGCAAAAAGTGAACTCGGTGTTGTCAGCAAAACATACCTAGATAAAATCAACAAGGACTTAAAAAATAAATTAAAACTTAACCAATGAAAAAATACCGCAGAAGTAATCAAATGGTTTACAAACATAAGCGACAAGCAACACTGTGTATTTATACAACTCGACATCAATGAATTTTACCCATCCATCACAAAAGACATACTAAACAGCGCTTTAATATTTGCAAAACAGCACACTGAAATCAGCAGTGAAAAAATTGTAGTCATAAATCATTTCAGAAAATCGCTATTATTTTTTAAAAACGAAACATGGATAAAAAAGACGTAAAATGATTGTTTTGACGTTACAATGGGTTGTTTTGATGGAGCCGAAGTATGCAAACTGGTGAGTTTATACATTCTAGACTCTTTATCCAAAACCAGACGACGGATTGATGGTGATGCGCAAAAAAACTACGGCACAGTTAGACAAAGTCAGAAAAAATATAATTGAGATATTTAAAAAGATCGGATTTCAAATAGTGATTCAAACCAATTTAAACAGTGGTTATTTTCTTGACGTAACTTTTAATTTTCAAAAAAACTCCTAACAACCTTTTAAAAAACAAAATAACCAACTGCTCTACATCCACACCGAATCAAACCACCCGCCCCAAGTTCTTAAGCAGATCCCTCTCTCCATTAATGATCGATTATCGCAAAATTCTTTCAATGAAAAAAAAATTAACGCTTTAAAAACAGAATACGAAAAAGCACTTACACAAAACGGTTTTAAAAAAATTTATATTAAAGTACAACCCAAAAAATAAGACACCTCCCAAAAGAAAAAGGAATATAATTTGGTTTAACCCACGCTACAATAAAAGTGTCTCCACCAATGTTGGCCAAATCTTTTTGCAATTAATAGATAAACATTTCCCACCTTTAAATCCATTACATAAACTATTCAACCGAAACACTACAAAAATTAGCTACAGCTGCTCAAACAACATTTCAAAAATTATAAAAAGCCACAACAAAAAAATAAATTTAAACACTAAAAATTATAAAAAGCCACAACAAAAAAATAAACACCACTGAAAATCTCCCTAGCAATTGCAAGCAAAAAGAAATCTGCCCGCTGAATAAAAATTGTAGAGCGACAAACATCATTTACAAATGTATAACATCTTCCCCAAACACTCCCAGCAAACCATACATTGGTTTATCAGAAGGAGTGTGGAAAAAGAGGTATGCAAACCACAAGCAATCATTTTCAAATAAGAAACTTTCAAATGCAACCACTCTCTCAAAACATATATGGGAAACTAGAGAAAAACTGAAAGAAACACCAGAATTAACTTGGTCTATCCTAAAAAAAGCCCCCGCCTACAAAAATGAAACATAAAAATGTTTACTATGTTTATATAAAAACTGATTATTTTGATTTATAAAAATGCTGAAAAGCTACTCAATAAAAAAACAGATTTGATCTCCAAGTGTCGTCACGAAAATAAACTTCTATTGAGCAACCACAAACCTGAAAATTAGATACACGCGGTCGTAACAATAAAAAAAAAAAAAAAAGTTTTTTCCGTATAGGTTTTTTCTGTATAGTTTCAATTGTAAATAATTTTTAAACGAACAAACTATATTCGTATTTCACCTGATGATTGCAACAGCATGAAACTTAAAGTTGTGAAAATCACGTAGTTTTACTTTCTACTATATATATATATATATATATATATATATATATATATATATATATATATATATATATATATATATATATATATATATATATATATATATATATATATATATATATATATATATATATATATATATATATATATATATATATATATATATATATATATATATATATATATATATATAAATATATATATATATATATATATATATATATATATATATTTATATATATATATATATATATATATATATATATATATATATATATATATATATATATATATATATATATATGCTGTACAGTTATTGTTATAAAGTAATAGAATACTATATAATGTTGTATTACTATGTCTTGGAAGGGCACTGCAGTTGTTCTGCAGTTATGCAACTTATCAACCCATAACTGCGATAACTACAAGTTTTTTTAATAAGGTTTTTATTATATAAATGTTATATATTATACAGAGTTTTAAAGAAATGTTTTTATGAATTGTTACTATAGTTACTCAATGTACACTATACTAATGTAGAATCTTCTATAATCTATAAAACTACGGATTTATAAATGTTAAATTGATTGTTAAATGAATGATTTATATGAATAGAACGAAGATGTTTATTGAGTTATTTTTATTATTTTTAGAAAAAAGATTGTATGACTTAGGTATCCGCAGTATGGTATAGTGTATTGGTTCTTATTTTAGAATGGCTCTCTTCCGTATAGGTGGAAATAGAAAAGGTTATGTCCTTTTTTCTAACTCTTAAGACAAAGAGGCTTAATCAGCTCAAGCAAAATGACAATGACATTATGGAGCCGATCATGATGACGAATACGATAATGCATATAATAATAAATAAAATCATTTTACTTGTATTTTAGACTTATAATAAGTAAAAAAATAAAATCTGTTTAATGTTTGATTTGTTTTTGAGTATTTAGATAATGAGTTTAACTTTTCTTTACGGTACTTATTTAAAGCAGCTTAAATAAAAGAAAAGTTAAATTCGTTTATCAATATTTTTTATTTATTAAAATAAAGTTAAACGTCGCGAAATTTAAAAGGAAAGATTTAGATGGAGTTAAATAGCGTTTAAAACGAACCATTTATATATGGTTTAAATGGAGCATTCGATTGACCTACGTTCTAAATCGAAACTAAATTAAATCTAAACATTTAGAACGAACATTAACTAAACGTTGATTAAATGTTCGAATGCCCGTTGGGAAGCGTGAGCAATTAGATTATGATTTAAAAGGTATCTGACAGATGTTCAGATTTTAGAATCATATTTAAAAGTACAGAGTTTGCAGTTTATCTTGTGATTACTCAAAAAATAACTATAAGTTTTAAAAACACTGGAGTTTTTTATTTACAGAATGATCTTTACAGAAATAGCCATTAACTTAATTATTATTTTAGGAAAATCTAAATTTTAGAGGAGTAAAATAGTCACAAAAAATCAATTTACTACTTGCATGTGTGCTTGGCTGTTTCCTGCTGCTTTAATTGTTGTTGCAACTGACTGGACTGTATATAAAATATTAAATTAAATTAAACACGCAAAACTTAATAAACAATAAAAAAAATATTTGCGCAGATTTTAGAAATATAACTATGTAATATAACTATATTACTGTTCGAACCATGTTAACTTTTCTACTAAAGAGAAAATAAATGATACAATATAATAATCTATCATATCAGAGGTAAGTAAATTTATTTTCTTTTTAGTGGTTATCATATAGGAGTATGAATAATACTTAAACTTTTAAAGATATTTTTTAGTTCATACTAAAAGCCTACACTAAAACTGAAGATCCATTATATAAATATTTGAACATCATAATTATTGATTGGCACTGACTGCACTAAAAGTATACCCAACGGGCATACGAACATTTAATCAACGTTTAAGTAATGTTCGTTCTAAATGTTTAGATTTAATTTAGTTTTGATTTAGAACGTAGGTCAATCGAATGTTCCATTTAAACCGAATCTAAATGGTTCGTTTTATATGCTATTTAAACTCCATCTAAATCTTTCGTTTTAAACGTCGTCTAAATTTTATAAATTTACGTTTCTTTAATTTATATGCTTCTTTAAATAAGCGCCGTAAAGAAAAGTCAAATGTTGAACGCGTAACTAAATACTCATAAACGAATCAAACATACAGATATTTTTTTTCATACATGCAAGTCTTAAACATGTTTACACTAATTTTAATTATTTTAATATGAATTATCGTATTTATCATTATCATGATCGCTTCCATGACAATAAGCATCATCTTTGCTTGAATCGTTCAAGCCAGCCTCTCCATCTTGAGAATTGGGAAAATGGGCGCCACCTTTCCCAGTGTAACCTAAACGAAACGGAGCCATTCTAAGATGAGAACCAATGCACGAATATATTTCGGACAAAGAAGACGTAGAATATCGTTTCAATACACACTCTAAAAATAATTTAAAAAAATCAATAAACATCTTCATTCAATTCATATAAATCATTTATTCGACAATTTTATAAATTCGTAGTGTGTACTGAGTAGATTTGAATTATAACCTGAGTTTGAATTTAATTTCAATTACAAAAAATATAAAAATAATATTTTACCAACAACAAGTTGACACAGAGCAGAGTCTCTAAACGGAAGCTTTTTAAGAGAACCTTTACCATCCATACTTAAATGAGACATAACAAAATTTGTAAAAAGTCTTTTCAATAGATTCTTAGAAGTATCTTTAATGGATGACCCTCCGATTCGTGAAAGAAGGCGAAGCTACAAAGAAATTATTTATAAATGCTACTTTGAATTACACATGGGATTCTAATTAATACAAAAACAAAAGTCTTGCCACCTCAATGAAAGCAAAACATATTTTCTGACATCAAAACAAAATTTATATAGACGTTAAAAACCTTTCTGGGAAAGAGGATAAAAACAATTAGCTATACACTTACTAAAATTGTTCGATTAGCAAGAACTCCACATTGCTCCTCTAATTTTCTGCATCCATTTAAGGTCCCAATAGCTCCAGCTATAACTTCTAGATGGATCTCAGCAACAGTCTCTAAACTTGGTACGGCCATCATTTCCACTGCTATTCGTAAATCTTTAATTTCGTTAGCCATATTTGATAACTGATAAAGAACTTTTCTCTGAAACTCTGTAAAATATAAAACATTTATATAAAAACCTTATTAAAAAAACTACACAAATTTCGTTATAACTGTTCACAGTGATAAGTTGATAATAGATAGCACAATTGCAAAGCAACTGCCTTATCTACAGTAAAAAAAAAACAAACAGTCGAATTAAAAAATATATCATTAAATAATATATAAATAAGGTTTGATAACTTACTCCCATTATCGATTTCATTTTCTTGAGGAGCAGTTGGCTCAATCAGTATCATGTTTGCTTGAAACTTTCTATTTAATGCTGATTGTTTCAATACAATATAAATAATTATACAATTACATTGGGCGTTGTAAATCAAAACTTATTTAGAAACGTCATTAAATTTTTGCAGTATATATGTAAATCAGACCCCATATACTATACAACATTATACTATAAATAAACAATAACTAATATCATTATTACAGTTAATTCTAGATATCTCTAATATTTACCAAATCCCTTGGATATTACACTTAAGTTAAAAATTAAGTATTACTTGATCGATCTATTACATTGTCTTTTGATGTGGCAGCTCTCTGTCTGAATATTGGTATTTTAGAATCAAATTTTCGGGGTAGCAGAAAAGGAGAAAGTGCTGATTGGTTAGCTATAATGTAAATAACTATATAGTTACATTATTTATGCAAAGTTGTTTTCAATGAAAATTTACTAAATTTTCCTAAATTTGATTTAAAAAAGTTTATCCTTAAAAGGATAAAGGATTAAATATGTTCATAAGTCGTAAAAGTTAGTAGGTCTAAATCTGAAGATTATTTAAAAGTGAAGGTGGTCTATATCAAAGATATAAATTTAGACATCTTACTTGATTGATCCATTTTATTTTCTATTGGTATAGTCACCATTCTTGATTTGAATGAAGGTATCTTAGAATAACAGCTTGAAAGACCAGGTGACTGTGGAATTGGTGATAGTTTAGCTACAATGTAAATCTCAGGGTATACTTTTGAGATATAACCATTACAATTATTATTAGTATTCAAAGATATAAAGTACAACAACTTACTTGCATGATCACTTTTATATCCTTGTGGTACCACATCCACAACCTTTTTATATAGTGAAATATTTGATGTTAAACATTTTGCCTAATTTAGCAGATGGCTGTGGAAATGTAGATAGTTTTACTATTTTAAAAATAAAATACAACTACAGCAAGTGTAAAAAAATATTTTTAATAACTATTTTATTACAAAATACATACACATAACACTATTATTACTATTATTATGTAGGCTATTATTAGCTCCTGCTCTACTCTTCATAAAATTACCAATTAATGAACTTGTTTCTTCACGCAGCAGCCTTGTTCGTCAAGGTTTGTGTTTCAGAGTTATGAAGTTGAGAAAGGGTTGAAACTACAAGTAGCCTCTTCGATTGTAGTGGTCATCTCAGCCTTTAGGGAGGTGAATTAACATAAAAAATATATATTCTTACTTTCTGTATTAATATCAACATCAACTTCTTCCTCGCCTGAAAAAAACAAAGTGTTTTACTAGAGCTGTATTAAAGTAGTGGTATTATATCCGAATAAATAACTTCAATTTTGATTAAAATAATGCAAAACTATAGATTGATAATAAGTTTTAAATATTATATTTTATATATTATTTGTCAGTTTTTGTATATTTCACATATATTATAATTTTCAGTTTATATATTCTATTTACTATTTATATGAGTATTAACAAATTAAAGTAAAACCTTCAATAAAAGTTGTACAAGCAGTACGCTTGCGCTTTTTTAAAACTTGCTGATTATCTTCTTCAGTTTCTGTAGTTAAATCATAATTATTACAATCCTCGTAGCAATCTGTAAAAGAAATAAGAAAACATTTAATTTATCCAAGAAGTTATTGACAAATAAATTCTTTTAACAAGTAATGACTAAATTCTTTAACATTTTGCGAATGTAAATTATGAAGCTGTTGTCAAAAAATAAACACAAAACCTGAAGTAATTTTTATTTTTATTAGTTTAAAAAGTCGCCAATTTTCATTAGGTTCTACTCCTTCTTTCATTAATTTAAACGCATTCATTTTGGATGGGGGCCACATAACTACTTTTACCCGCACCCATGCGTATGGCAAGACTCCTTCTTCCTCACGATTTTCTTCCAACCAAACAGCCCGGTGATATGACATTTTACTAAAATGTTAATACTCTTTTTATTGTAGGTACATCAACACATAACATAAACTTGTAACTAAACTTGTTTAAAAGTGTTTAATATAAGTTTAGTCGTTTACAAATACATAAATATTATTTTACTAATACATATAAATAGTAGTTTAATTATTGTTATTATCCCTTGTTTCAGCTAAACAAGACACCAATAGAAGTTATTATCAGAGGAGATGGTTATGAAAATTTCTATATTAATTACTCTTTAAAATTTTAAGATTAATATCTAAAATTATTTAGATTCACATTAAAAGTAAACAAAATCGAAACAAAAATTAAAAAAAAATTAAAAAGTTAAAACATAGGAAAATAAAATCACAACTTAATATACCTAAAATAAATTTACAATAACTTACACCAAATGAAAATATTAATAAAAAAAGAAGCTATAATAACTCTTTGATTAACTACGAAGGCTAAAAAATATATAGCTTTTTTCACTCATAGTGCTAACCTAGTATACTATGAAATATCTTCCTTAAATTAAAAATCACATTAGGCATATTAGCATATTTAAACATATTAAACATATAGACATAAAAACATATTTAAAACTATATTAGAGGGAGATAAATATAAAAAGAAATGTTTTTGAATATTTTTCAGAAAAGATCTTGCTGGAGCATCACAAATAACTGAGTGCAAAATAACTGTATAATTTTTACCATTATGAGTGACACCATGACATTTTGAAAATTTATATTCATCAATAAAATCCTTTAAGAATTCTTTAACACAGTTTGGCTTACTATCTCCTTGATATAAGGCAACAATTGTGGGTGAACTATGATTAACAGCAAAAAGAATCGGCCAAAATTGTCTTTTCGATGATCTAAACAATGATATACCGTCAACATTTATTTGCAGATTGAGTATATTACTGCAAGTGCCTTGATTTATTGAATTCTGTAAACATTTGAAAAGGCCAAAATAAATGTATTTTCCACCACATTTTCCTGAACTTGTATAGCTTGAGGTGTTTGTAAAAGAGTACGGCTATCTTTAGGCAGCTCGCACCCATGTTTTCTCAACAAGGCTAGCAAACCATTACATGATAAACGTGTGAGTTTTGCATTAACAACCCATTGAGCTAGATCGTATTGAAAAGATCTATTGCCAACAACTTCTATATCACAATAATGTTCATCGTCTGAGCTGCTATTAGGTGGTACTATGTCGATGTCAATATCATCTATATCACAATTTTCTTCATCGAAACTACTGTAAGGTGGTACTATGTCAATGTCAAGTCTATAGGTATCACTATTAAATAAATTATCAGTTATATT